TTCTATATATTCTATATATTCTATATATTCTATATATTCTATATATTCTATATATTCTATATATTCTATATATTCTATATATTCTATATATTCTATATATTCTATATTCTGTCCAGTCCTAGTCCTGTCCCTTCCTGTCCCGTCCCATCCTAGTTTAAAAAGAAAAGAAAATGCACCAATTCTCCATGGGACAAACATTACCACAATTAAAATCCAGGGTACACAAACACAAGTTCGGCTGTCCAACGGCATGATCCCAAACCCTTCATGTCTACCCACACCAACACCAAACAGCATTATGTAAATTGGAGCGACACATAAATCACGGTGCCCCGCTACACCCAGCCACCCTAATGATGTGCATTTGAAGCCTGGCCCTCCGCAAGCCATCCCAACCACAGAGACGTTGACCCCCAACCAGCGTACGAGCCCCTCAGAATCCAAATCAACCCCACAGCCAATCAGAGGGAGCACCGACCCTCGACCAAACCACGCAATTCCCCTCTCCCCCAGCCAGCACTTTGCCTACCCAATGGCCCTCCCTTGGTGTCATCTCCCCATCACAAGACCCATCACAAGAGCCTCACTGATAACTCACAACTGACACACTACAAGACCTTCTCTTGACACACCCGCACCCAAAGCCCTTATAAACAGAAGACCATGGACATCCCCTCAACTCCGCTGAAGATGTTACCAAGCCTGGTAGCGAAACGTTCAGAAGCCAACCCACAAGGTCGGAGAACGAATCTTCACCCTCATCCCACACCCGAGTTACAGATATTCACACACACCCCATTGCAAAAAAAAATGCACTCATTTTAGGGGGGGGGGGGTTAGAGCAAGGAGCAAGGAGTTGGACTAGAAGACCTCCAAGGTCCCTTCCAACTGTTAGAGCTGAAGGCTCCACCTTGGACAGATACCCTCATAGCCAAAGGAACTCGATACAGGTAGTCCTCGACTTACGACCACCATGGAACCCAAATTTTATCTCGCAAAGCGGAACCTTTGCTAAGTGAGTTTGCCTCATTCTATGACTTCTCTTGCCGCAGTTGTTAAGGGAATCGTTGCAGTTGTTAAGTTAGTAACACGCAGTGGTGGGATTCAAATAATTTAACAACTGGTTCTTTGCCCTAAATGCCGGCTGGGTGGGCGTGGCCAGGCGTATAACAGGCAGCACTCGCCTCCTGCATCCTTCTGGGAGCCAAACTGGGACACGTGGGGATTCCTGGAAGGGGCGGGGCCAGCCAGCAATTTAACAATTGGTTCGCCCGAACTGGCCCAAACCGACTGAATCCCACCATTGGTAACAGGGTAATTTGGATTCCCCGTCGACTTTGATTGTCAGAAGGTCGCAAAAGCGGAACACACCGCCCTCAGGACACTGCAATCCGTCACAAATGTGTGTCAGTTGGGTTCATATAGGTTCAAAACTTACTTGGAAAACATAAATTTGGGGCTCATTGGTGGTCGTAACTCGAGAGTGACCTAAAAAGAGGAAAGCCCCTCTGCAGAGAGATGCACGCCAGTCGCCTTAAGTCATCTTAAAATAATACGTACTCATCAAAAAATCTCGGATCTGATGTATCAGATTTCTGAGGTCCTTGTTGCTCTGGTCTACTTGCTCCTTGGTGGCGTTGGTCTTCAGTAAAATGTCCTGCGCGTTCTGCTTGGCCTCGTCGGCCCGTTGTTTGGCTTCCGAAACCTACGTGAGATAAGCAGGACTGTGTTTACAACTGCTAGCAAATTCCGTCTCTCGTTGAAAATCAATACCGACCGAGACCTTAACAGATTCTGAAGCTCTGAGAGCAAGATTTTTAAGAATTCTCTGACAATTCTCAAACAAATGATGTTGACGCTCTAAAACAGGGGTGTCAAACTCAACTTCATTGAGGGCTGCATCAGGGATGTGGTTGACCTCAGGGGCCCGGCTGGGCGTGGCTGACTGGGTGGGCGTGCCAGCTTGATGGCACTCACTGGGCGTGGCTGATTAGGTGGGCATGGCCAGCTTGATGGCACTCACTGGGCATGGATGACTGGGTGGGTGTGGCTGACTGGGTGGGCATGGCCAGCTTGAAGCCACTCACTGGGTGTAGCTGACTGGGTGGGCATGGCCAACTGGGTGGGCATGGCCAGCTTGATGGCACTCACTGAGCATGGCTGACTGGGTGGGTGTGGCTGTCTGGGTGGGCATGGCCAGCTTGATGCCACTCACTGGGTGTAGCTGTCTGGGTGGCCGTGGCCAATTGGGTGGGCATGGCCAGCTTGACGCCACTCCCCAAACTGCTGGCATATTTCATCTTCGCACAGGTTGAAGTGACATAGGACGGCCCCTTACATTTTCCAGGACGACCCTGCGGGCCAGTTCCAACCACATCGTGGGGTGGATGCGGCTCATAGGCCTTGGGTTTGACACCCGTGCTCTAGAAAGAGTGCAGAGAAGAGCAACCAAGAGGATTAGGGGATTGGAGGCTAAAACATACAATGAATGGTTGCAGGA